AAAGTTAGTTGATTGAACCAATGGTAGAAAGTGAAGAAATTATCTCAAATCATGCACAGAAAATCTTGCGCCATAAATTACAGTACAGGCGACATGTATATGCATTACGGGATCTGTAGCATTATGGTCAGTAACTTCTGCAGCAAGAAGCATCCCTAGATGTAACTTTGGTCTAGATAGGATAATTTTTTTACTTGGGAATAATTTTTCTTTCTGTTCAACTGGAAAATGCAGATTTAGCTTCTGAAAAAAACTCTGGTTTCTAGATGCACCATCCATGCATATTTGGTCTGCACAGGGCATACAGTAACATGGGAATAGATCTGGTAGCTCATCTTGAAAATGTAGTTTGGATCCAGAATTGATAGAAAGTCTTGGATTCTTCATCCCTATATGAAGATGAAAATCTTGAAAGCAAATACAACCAGAAGTCTCTGTCGAGACTGTAGCTCTATTGGTTTGTACTTATGACAAAGGATGAGAAAAGAAGCCATTGCCATTAGGAATTTCACAGACATTTCTATTTTTAGTAACAATAGCAAACTGTTCATCAAAATCAAAAACTGATGCGCTATTTTATGTATCTTAGTGTAGTCTTCTTGTTTGCCAAGTAATACTGAAATCAGACCATAACTGTAGAAGGAGTAGCGTTTTAAAGGAATTTCACAGAAAATTCTGTTTTTAGTAACCATGGCAACACCGTTCATCAAAATCAAAAACCGATGCAAAATTTTATGTATCTCAGTGTAGTCTACTTGTGTGCCAAGTAATATTAATATCAGACTAAAACTGTAGGAGGAGTAGCGTTTTAAAGGAATTTCACAGAAAATTCTATTTTTAGTAACCATGGCAACACCTTTCATCAAAATCAAAAACCGATGGAATATTTTATGTATTTTAGTGTAGTCTGCTTATGTGCCAAGTTATATTGAAATCAGACCAAAAGTGTAGAAGGAGGAGCGTTTTCAAGGAATTTCACAGAAAATTCTATTTTTAGTAACCATGGCTACACCTTTCATCGAAATCAAAAACCGATACACAGAATTATGTATCTTAGTGTAGTCTACTTGTGTGCTAAGTTATATTGAAATCAAGCTAAAACTGTAGGAGGAGTAGCATTTTAAAGGAATTTCACAGAAAATTCTATTTTTAGTAACCACGGCAACACCGTTCATCGAAATCAAAAACCGATGCACTATTTTATGTATCTTAGTGTAGTCTACTTGTGTGCCAAGTTATATTAAAATCAGACCAAAACTGTAGGAGGAGTAGCATTTTGAAAAATTGTTTACAGACAGACGGACAGACAGACAGACAGACGGACGGATGACGGACACCTTACTATCGCATAAGCTCTTCTGGTCTCTGACCATTAGAGCTAATGACCCTAGGGTCACAACACTCACCTGAGTACTTAAGCCAAGTTTTTTCTTAAAAAGATAACCCCCCTCTTCCCCTGCAATACTGTGGCCCCAACCTAACCCTCGGGAGGGGAGAAATTTACACTATTTCAGGAAGCTTCCATATAAATTTATCATATCTAGCCCAGTGGCTCTTGAGAAGATTTCTCCTACATATTTCATTCTGAAACTTTGACTTTGGGCCTATTTTTGGCCCCACCCTACTCTCTAGGACAATGATTTGAACAATTTAGAGTCTGCTCTACCCCAGAAGGCTTCCAAAAAGGTTTCAGTTTTTTCCAGCCCATTGGTTCTCGAGATTTTTTTCTATATATTCAAAGGTAAAACTGATATTCCCTACCCAACCACCCCTGGGATCAAGATTTGTACAGCTTAGAATCTTTCACTTTCTAACAAGGCATCCACATTAGTTTCAGCTTTTCTGGCCCACTGGTTCTTGCAAAGATTTTTTCAATGACCCTACCTTACTTTTGTTTTTTCTTGATTATCTCCCCTTGTAAGGGGACTTGGCCCTTCATTTTAACAAAATGGATTGACAGATGGAAGACAACTGTTGATCAGAAAAGCTCACTTAAGCTTTCTAATCAAGGTGAGTGGGGCAGTGGTTAGCGCATCCGCTCTAGAGTTCCGAAATAAGGAGTTGATCCTTAAGTCGCAGGTTCACAAGAAGTGGAAACCAGCCTTCGGATGAGACGGTATAAACAAGGTCTCGTGTTGCAGCAGGTGCTGGCACGAAAAAGATCCCCCCTGCTCAATGGCCATAAGTGCCGAGTATAGGATAAAATTTGCAGGTCTCCACTGGCAAGTGGTGGCGTCTCCATACAAGAGCAAAAATTTCTGAGAGGGACATTAAAAAAACAACATACAATCAACTCAGGTGAGCTAAAAATTATTATAAGTTTCCTCTAAAGAATACTTCATTGATCGTTTATCACCTTGGTGTGAGAACATGAAATGCAGATTCAAGTGTTAAAACCAAGACCCAGTTAAAGTGGACCCACAACCTTTGGTATAAATTAGGTACTGTAAATCACTTTTTATTCACGAGAACTTTATTTTCGCGTAATTACGCGAGACGGTATGCTCGCGAAAATTTCATTCTCGCGTATAATAGAATTCCTTAAGATTATATAAAGCACTGACCACAATTCGTGAAAGTTTTGTCTCGCTAATAAAGAGTCAATGACTATCTCGCGAAAATAAGGTGTCGCGAAAATTAAGTGATCTACAGTATAATATAAACAGGAACACATCAACCATTTCAGATTGCATCAACTGTCAAGAACTCCATATGAATTTGTAATTATGAGACATAGTTTGATTTATCATGATAGACCGACCTATATAATTCTCAAACAGTGTTAAATAAAGGAACCATACACTCAACATGTATTACCGTAATAACCTTTGGGAGTAATCACAAACATTATCTATGGAAATGATGATTTATTTGACGCCATATAAGCTGCTGCAGAAATGAAGGGTCTACATCATAAACTATCGCCATTCACACCTAAATACCAATATTGCACATAACACTCAAAATCAAAAGGAACTTATTATCACATGTATATCAATATTCTTTAGTCTCAACATGTATTCAGTCATAAGCTAAACAAAATCTACATTGTGCCATCCTGTGGTTTTGTGAAATTCTGGCAAATATATATTCTTTTACCCTCTCAAAATGTGCTAGTGTTAATAAAAGTTAAACCCCATAAATTTATGAAGAAATTTCAAATAAAGAACATTATTTATAAAGGAAATATTTCTGTTACAATAAAATTGATGTTTTTAAAAATAGTTTTATTTTTGTGAAATGTACAACTGAAACATGTTTTTATACAACCATTCTTACTTTATCTTCCACAGAAGTCTGTACATACATATATACCCTCATACTAATAAATTCACATTTGATGTACTAAACTTATGAATTGTTAATAAAAATCTATAAGATATACTAGTACTTATATAACATAATGTGAGCAAATGTTAGAAATGCTACTTCACAAAACTATTTAGTCAAACAATTAATTTTACTAGATTTATACATTCATCCTGTTAACACATTCATCTTTCATGAATAAACTCTGAAGTACATGTATTATGACTAGACAATGAATTATATAGAACAGGAAATGGGAGGAAAATAGATTTAAAGCTTATAAAACATGTTTCTCAGACAATTCAATTTCAGACAAATTTAAAATGTAAGTGGGACTTGTCCTTTTGTAACCATTAATACATGCAATATTAACATTTTTACCTTCTATAACTTTCAATACATTAACTGGTAAATAATCTGTTTACATTTGAAGCCATTTAAAAACAGCTGCTAAATTGTGTGGTTTAATCATATGTACAGTACTCAACTTACAATTAAGAATTCAATAAATTAAAGTCAAATATAATTTGTGTAAGATTCATGTTCACAGGTATATTAGCAATATCAAATTTGAGCAGTAGTACCCAATATTACCATTCATCAATCATGTCAGTTTGGAGGCTAACTTGATCCTCTTTTTTATGTTATTATCAATATATTATCAGGTTATAACAATCTAAGGTCAATAATCAACCAACGCAATAAAAAATGCCTTCATCTTCTTACCACCAAAAAAGTTGGTGAAACAACAGAATACCATGAAGTATTGTATATACATGCATTAAATATTTTCCATCTATATATTGTCTTGTAGATTTAACCATTGATACTGCCTCAGTAACATGATACACATATGTTCTCATATTAAAATATGAATGGCTAGAATAAAATTCTATCAATATACATGTATTTCTTTTAAAATGTAAAAAAAAAAAAAGAAATAAAATAAGTGTATAGTAACTTCCTATTAAATATACTGCACAATTAACAGGTTTTAACTCAAAATTTCAACCCTGAAATACAAGAATCATCTTTGTTAGCCAAATGTTTCCGATATACTTCAATATGCACTTTGCGCAACGATATCAATTTTCTAGTACCAGGTATATTACAATTTGTTGACAAAATATGTCATAATGCAGTATTTTTTTTTTTCAGTGCCAGTATAATGACAAAATGCTGCGCTGGGTAAAAAACAAAATTTAAGATGTCAGAAATGTTTTCAGTTGTGCCAAACAGTAAGAAGACTGCTCTTGTATGGATATACTTTTGTTGCAAAACTGTGGTGAAATTCTTTCTGGAGACTAATAAATTGAGAAAAGGCAGCTTATTGAAAGTAACTGTATTGCAATATATATTGCATAGAAACAGTACAGTTAAAAATCCTGCAATTTTATATTGCAATACAATACAGTTAAAAATATTGCAATTTTAATATGCAATATGAAATTATCAGCTCTATTTTACTATGTATCAAATTCAGTAATTTTTTTTTCAAAGTCTGATTGGATCCAATAGATATTGCTTGAAAAATCAACCAAGAAATTTAAAACCTCTAGTCTTTGAAAAAAAAAATCTGCATTCAAGTGTTTGAAGACAACTTTACTATTTGCTTAAAAAAAAACCCCAAAAAAGCTAACTTGATTATCCATATGATAACTATTGGTCATTTCATAATTATGCAGTCATCATTTAATTTTGCAAGTCAATCTTTTGATATCCACTTCTTGAATATTCTTGCAGTATCGGTGTATATCAATTTCAAAACTCTCCTTCATTTTGTGGACATTGCAACTTAAAAAAAAATTGCAGGCCCTCAGTAGTAGAAATCAAAGACAAAAAACAATTACTGTGTAAGAATGTATATATCAGAAACATTTGAGCTAGCCAACAGGAATATAAAGTCCCAAGTATCTGTATTAAATGCATTGATCTTCCTGAGCTACTTTTCTTTTTTAATTTTTACTGTTTGTGCTGTTCCAATTTGAAATGTGAAATGTAAATGTTGAAAAAAAAAATACTTCTCGTACAAAACTTTGAACAAATTGTATAGATAATTAAAATTCAGTAGAACTATCAAGTAAATACAATACATGTAGATTATGCACACATACCCCAATTAAAATGAAAGTAAATATAAGAGATACAGCTGTAGAACACTAATACTCAAATGTAACATTCTGACCAATCACTTGACAGAAACTAGATATTTCTCCATGCTTTAACTAAAGTCAGTAGCACTTGCATTATTCCACAGTCTGTGGCTTTTCTGTAGAGGCTGCCTTCACTTCTAATAACAGAGTTCTGGCTCTATACCTTTGAAGATTATCACGCTGGGTGAATTTCTTGTAGTTGTAGGGAGTCCGAGCTTGGTTAGCCCTCGCTGTTTTGTCCTGTCAACCTTCACAAGCATCGACATTGATAAAATACTGTTAGAAAGTGGCCAGACACCTTCAGTGTATGATATAGCACACACAAACACACACACAAGGTACAGGTTACACTGTGGTGGAGCAGAGCTGGAATTACACTGGTGTCAATCCATGATGTGGCTCCATACTATCAAGTATCTGGGTTTTCTACAAAAAAAGAAAGAAAATTAAAAATAATAAAAAATCTCTTAGAGTTAATTATACATTTGTTAAACTTACCCCCCCCCCAAAAAAAAAATCCTCACAGATGCTTTTTTTCACTTTTGATGACAATGTACACTATTTTGAAAAATATTATTGGATACTGGCTTGTATTTAATTTGCCTACTACTTTGAATTACACAAGACTTTAAAATATTTCCATCATCTTAATCAGTTGTGATTGATTGTAAGTGATTCTAGTAGAAAATCATTTCGTCAGAACATTGATGAATAAGTTGGGGGAAAAAAACAAAATAAATTCCTGAAATATCACATTAATGCTCACTTCATGAGAAATCTACATAATCTAAAAAAATATTGAAATAATATGCAAAACATCATGCATACATCAAAGGGAACAAAAAACAACTGTTTCTTCATGCTAGGAAACAATTTTGCACATGATTGTGATCTTAACATGTTCAAAGTATTTTCAATTTTGCATTACTAGGTAGGTTCAAAACTTCAATCCACATAGAAACTACATATTCTCTCCCCAAAGAAATAATATTGTTTGTCATAATTAAATACATATTAATTAGAACTAAAATACTTAGTGTCAGAATAAATTTTATTTTTTTTCAAGTGACTTGCAGTTAGGCATTTCTTAAGTCTTATTGGACTGTGTTTATCAAATGAACAGTTCCTAATACAATCATTCATCACAATTATTATTAAAAACTGTGTAGCAGGCATCATTGAAAATCCATGCAAGGCCAACTTTTTTTGTTACCGTATGTACTCACTTTTAGGTCAGATTTTTGGGAGTTAAACTTTGGTCCAAAACTCTAGGTCAGACTTATAGGCAAGTTATAAAAAAGACTGATATTTTTAGAAGGTCAGTCCCTCTAACATAAGCTTAAACAAGAGGCCCAGGGGCCACAGCGCTCACCTAAGCACATCGGGCTTGAATTTACTCCCCCCCCCCCCCCTCCAGGCATTCATCATTTGAACAAACTAGACACTACCTGAGGATGATTCCATGTAAATATCACTAATCATAGCTTTGAAGTACTTGAAAAGAAGATTTTAAAAGGTTTCCCTATATATTCCTATGTAAAACTTGGGTCGGCCATTTTGGCCCCACCCTAGCCCCGGGGGTCATGATTTGAACAAACTTGAATCTACACTACCTGAGGATGATTCCACATGAGTTTCATCTTTCCTGGCCCAGTGGTTCTGGAGAAGAAGATTTTTAAAGATTTTTCCTATATATTCCTATGTAAAACTTGGGTCGGCCATTTTGGCCCCACCCTTGCCCCGGGGGTCATGATTTGAACAAACTTGAATCTACTCTATCTGAGGATGATTCCACATGAGTTTCATCTTTTCTGGCCCAGTGGTTCTAGAGAAGAAGATTTTTAAAGATTTTTCCTATATATTCCTATGTAAAACTTGGGTCGGCCATTTTGGCCCCACCCTAGCCCCGGGGGTCATGATTTGAACAAACTTGAATCTACACTACCTGAGGATGATTCCACACGAGTTTCATCATTCCTGACCCAGTGGTTCTGGAGAAGAAGATTTTTTAAAAATGCCATTAATTTTTAACAAATTCATGTCATTGATTATCTCCCCTTGGAAAAGGGCGTGGCCCTTCATTTGAACAAACTTGAATCCCCTTCACCCAAGGATACTTTGTACCAAGTTTGGTTGAAATTGGCCCAGTGGTTCTTGAGAAGAAGATGAAAATGTGAAAAGTTTACGACAACAACGACAACGACAACAACGACGACAGACAACGGACAAATTTTGATCAGAAAAGCTCACTTGAGCCTTCGGCTCAGGTGAGCTAAAAATACATCTGACTTTTAGGCGAGTATGTACGGTAATTTGGATTTGGTTTGTTGTTGTTTTTTTTCTGTTTTGTTTTTTGTTTGTTTGTTTGTTTTCCCACAAATGAAAAAAAAATCTTCAGGTAACAAATGTGCAAACAGATTGAAATTCTATGTTTTAAATCACTACTTCTTAACACAAGGGAAACAAGATGTGTTTGTGAAACCCTATGCACCTGGTGGCAACAAAGTTCTAAAAAAATATATTTTTAGTATATAGGTCACAGTCAAGGTCACAAGGTCAATGACCTTGGTGTCATTTGAAAGAACTTGATTAGCCAAGCATGCATCCCAAATATGAAGTCTCTATCTCTTATGGTTCAAAGTTGTGGTGAAGGTACAAATAAAGTGCCCCGCCACAGCATGATACACCCGTCAAATAATGTTCAATAATCATAAATTGGTTGGGGTGCAAGAAAATCAACCTTGATTAACAGATTGACACAGATTTCAATGATTTAATTTCCATTTCTTATCATGTTTATTGTACATACATCTCTAAGAGACTTACAGTGTAGGGATTAAATATAACAAATAATACATCATATAATTCTAAACTGGCTGAGCTAGAGCTTAACAAATATCCATCTGCAGCTTTAAATTGTTTATTACATATTTTATGGAATAATGGAAATGCTACAGTCTACATGGTCTAATAAAAAAATCAAAAATGAATTATTCTGTAGACTATAAAATTCTAAGTAAGACATGACTGCAATTTGTTGCAAATATATGAAATGTATTTTTTTTTTTTCAATAAACACATGTATAATTAGTTTTAATTATATTATACAAAACTAATTTAGTTTTAGTCATTCACTAAAACATCAATTTGTTTTAATTACATTACACCAATTGAAAGATCTTTATCTGGACTACAGCCATCAAGAACTCTTAATTAACACAAGCAATTGTGACGCCATTTCTTTTTGCCCAACTCCCAAGAGATAAATTAAGATAACAGCTTCATGATCAGATCTAGAGATGCTCTTGACAGTTAGCTCCCAACAATAAACTCATTAATTTCTCTCTAATTTGACATGCACATTTCTGCTATCAAAATTTTCCTTGACCAGTGCTTGATAATTATGCCCATGGGACAAACTGAATTCCTCTCAAAACATTAACATTTGTTACAGATATCTGTAAAGTATATGATGAAAAAATAAGTTTTTACTTAATTTAACATTTTTTAATAAGGAATTACAACTATATTTTTACATTTTTTAGAATTATGAAGTTTAAAATTTAAAAGACTTAGTTTTTAAAAAAAAATCACTTAAATTAAAGGTCACAGTGACCTTGAAATAGGCCGCGACACACCTTCTACCTTAGATGTATACTTTTACCAAGTTTGAAAGCTCTAGGTCTAATAATTTTCAAGTTATGAGCCGGACAGGATTTTTCCATATTTGGCTATAGCGTCTTTATTAAAGGTCAGAGCGACCTACTTTTTGTGCACGACACACCGTCTACCCAAGAAGTATCAGTTGACAAAGTTTGATAATCCTAGGCCTAATAGTATTCAAGTTATGAGCCGGACACGAATGGACAGACGGACGGACGGACATGAAGCCTATAACATAATACGTCCCGTCCTAAGACGGGCGTATAAAAAAAAAGCTATTTTTAGCATACAGGTTACAGTCAAGGTCAAAAGGTCATTGACCTCTGTGCCATTTGAAAGAACTTAATTAGTAAAATATGCATACCAAATATGTTGTTTTTATCTCTCATGGTTCAAAAGTTATGGCGAAGGTTAAAGTTTGCAGACAAACAGACAACCAGACAGACAGGACAAAAACAATATACGCCCCAGATCTATTGCATAGATGATCAAGGCAAATTTTTGGTTGCTGCATATACAGTACAATTGCACTGAAATGACTTTTGTCCAAATTCTGAAAGTCAATCAACATTGAAACTAAGATGGTCTGAAAAATTCTGCTCCTGGTGGGACGTAAGATTGAGTCTGAAAACTAAAGTAATAAAAGTGTTGGCCTAAAGAAAATTAATGTCAAAAGTTGTAATGCATGTCATGTTATTACTATGCATTCATGTTTGGATATCTTACCCTCTGATTTAAGTGGATAGTTTCATTCTATATCAATTATTCCTGAAATGCATGTACACATATGATAGGACAATGAATTGCTAAAGTTAGTAAATTTCATTTAAACACACACACACAAAATAATAGTTTTATATTTTTTGAGTTGTGATTGTCCCAATTTAACAGGGTTTTACATTTTTAAAACTAGCATTATACAAATTATTTGTGCCTTTAAAATGATTTGACAATGCAAAAATGTTTCATGACCAATGATGCCTTTGTTATACTTTAAGTTAAAACATAGCATCTAAAAGTTGAATCTTCTGTAAAGATTCAATGATATGGGTTTATGAATGAAGTAGACAAGACATGTTTCCAACACAAACCAGAAGTCTCTAACAAGTCTGCAGCTGTACTGGTGTATCCTTAATATCTATTTATAAAATCTTATTAATATCAAACCAAAACCTGCAAAAGGAGTTATGTTTTTAAAAATTCGAAGAAATTTCTATTTTTTGCTAACCATGGGAAAATTATGTCGACAAATAGCATTATTATCATAGTGTAGTCTACTTGTGCTTCAAGTCAGAAATCAGACCCAAACTGTGGAATGGTTTGAAGAATTAGTGTTTTGAACAATTGTTTATGGACAGACCAATGGACAGACATATACACCTCTTTCTAATGCAAAACCTCTTTAGTCTGTCTACATGTAGATTTAAAATGCTAACATATGGAAAACACCATATTATCATGTTGAAATGGCCTGTCAAGAAATGGGCATTTTAACTTTTTTTAATTTTCCTTACTGGTAAATACCAGAACAGTGAATGTGTACAGTGTTTGTATACCTTTTGTTTTGTTTGCTGATTCTATGATTTGCAGAAGGCAGCGTCCGAATTCCTCGATCACCATCCTCTCCTGTACAATGGGGGGCATCTTTAATCTCTCGGCTTCCTCAGCCTGCGCCAGGAGACAGGCACACGTGGCCTCAGCAACATCAGCCGTTAAAAACGTGTACGGCAACCTGAAATTAGTCAATTTATTTTCACTCCTACCTTTTGAAAATAAGAAATTAATAAGAAACACTGATTCACTAGGAATTATATGTAGTTCTTGTTCATACAATAATTCATATAATCATTAACTTATAAAAGGTAAATATTTTCTACAGAATTATTATATAAAACTTTAATAACTATAATCCTGATGGTGGTCCACTGATCAAGAGTGTAATCAAGCCACATTGTGTAATCTAGCAAAAATGAGGGTCTCTATATATACAATCCTTGTTTTGTGAAAAGATTGAAATGATGAATATGGTAGGTTCTCTTGATATAAGATTGTATATTATATTATTGCATTTCCTCCCAACCACTGTGTGTGCTAGATGTAATTCATTAAAATTTAGCCATGTGAAGGCCTTCTACATGCATATAGAGAGACCATAATTCAGTCCGGGACAAGATTATAAGGCGACCATAATTTGATTTTTAGTTTTACGGATCCGCCGACTCTAAAAATTTGCATTTCCAAAAAAAAAAAAAAATTCGGAATTTTTCAATCCACTCGTGTCAAACCTGTGTTTTATAAAAGCAAATCAGTCAGACACGTAAAAATACACATGTGCAGAATGGTAGAAGAATGTGAGCTGTCAACTTCGAATTTATCAAGAGTCTACCGATTCTGAACCCTCCCCATCACATGTCTCCCAATATTTTTTTTAAATTGCTGTCTCTACCGATTTCGAAAAAATCCGGATTTTTTACCTACTTCGATTTGTAAAATACCGACATGTCAACACAAAAATGGAGGTCATGCAGTCTCATTGCAGTGTTATCGTTAGCTAATCTGTTTATTGCCACTGATAACAGGTAATCATCAAGGTGTCAACTGTGCTAGCAGATGTAATTGCAGCTGTAAGTGCTCCTTATTCTCATTAAAAGTGTATATTATCAAAGACAGAGATACCAGATGTGGAACTTTTGCAAAAAAGGACGGTAAATAACGATGTGGATTTTACTTGATACTTTGCTGCAAATAAGTTTATATCATTATGCACCTAAAACAAAACAATTCCTCCATAAATAATACGGTGATCAGGACAGACATGAACAATAGTACTTTATTATTAATTTAACGAGGAAATGAAAGCAAGTACATGGTAGCTAATAAAGAGTCTGCAGAGGGAACACCGCAGATAATGAGATTCAGTGACTTTGCAAATCCTACGTCAACATCAGCATATAAAAGCCCTTGAAACTGCAGAGCAACTTGACAGTACCTCTAGAAGATTTCTTTGAATTAACGTAGCTAAACAGGGTAATAAAGTTACTTAATTTTAAAATATAAAATCTGCATATTGGAACATGACTACAATAATGCTCTGATATCAAATGTACTAAGAGTAAAAGAAAGAATTCAGGATCTAAGAATCCATGTATTTCATTCACACTAGATCATGCATGTTATTTTAAAAAAATGTATAAAATATTAAGTTTTGACTACTTCTATTTCTTTCAATTTCAGATCTTTATTAAATCCAAGAAACAGTTCTCTTGCTCCTTTATAATGAGAAAAATCCATTAATCCATCAGTTCAAAGCTGGAAACTCAGACCGTCTGCAGAATCTTATTAATTTGCTTAATTGCCAAATTATTAAAACTTTGATATTTGCTCTGAATATAATATCATATTCAAATGACACTCTTAATGAACCGTGCAAACTATACAGAGAAGAACATAATTTTTTATAATTTCAAAAAATTGCATGGTACTTATATTAAACAATGTTTGAATAAAAAGTTGTAATTTTTATAAATAACTACATGTAATATGTATTAATATCATTAAAAAAATAATTTATCTTGCAAGTTGTTCTTTTGTTTTGTTTTTTTATACTACAGTGAAATGTGTGACTTTTTGTTTGTGCAAAAGGTTGTTGCTAGCTTCACACCCCCCCCCCCCTTTCCCAAAAAAATGTTCGGCTATGTTGACAGGTATGATTTTGTCTTCTTTTTTTTTTTTTTTTTTTTTCGTCCTCCGACTTGACATTTCTTGAAAAAAAATCCGTAAAACTAAAAATCAAATTATGATCGCCTAATTTGGTTTCAATGCCCACCTTTCTCCTGTTGCTGTAGACTGAGGCCGCCTTGATGGAATTCCCGATATCTGGGAGGAGAGTTTGGATTTTGCTGCTGTTTGTTGTTGAACTCTGACCTCTGCTGCATCTGCTAAATGCATCAATGTTTTTCTCTCTGGACTCTCCTCAAAGTTTTTACACCCAATGCACTTACAGGAACTAGAGCACATAATTTTTGCCTGAAAATTTCAATCAAACATGTTTAAACTATATACATCATCTTGAGAATACAGAACTTATGGAGGTTAGCCAAACTGCAAAGAAGTGTTTCAAACATAAATATTCTTGGACCACATTAAACATACATTATCACAGATTATGAAGCTCACCTCAAGGAATGTTATATATGGCTGTCTAAAAACCAGAAGTCTCTGTCGAGACTGTAGCTCTACTGGTTTATACTTAAAACAAAGGAAGAGAAAAGTAGCAGTTGGGACTTGAGACTTTAAATCAGCAATAAATAGAAAAATGATCCTTGCCACTCATCAAAATCAAAGGCCTGAAGGGCCTGCGAGTAGACTCGCTCGAGTCAATTGAGCTTTTTCATACATCTGGGCACCATACCTTAATATATTCATTTATTTTGCATCTTAAGAGATTGAATATTATATGTCTGATCCATGTTCGGTTCATAAATAAAATGTATATTGCTTTTCCTTTATATATACAGGTTGGCACTAATGGGCTTCCGTATTATTTTGTCTGGATTCTATAATGAATTTCAGCACATGAGCTGAAGTGGTCAGTGTTATGGAATACAGCCTACTCCGGATATATTGAAATTCAGGGGACCATGCAAATTATTTCAATATATCCGTAATTCAATATAAGCGAAATTGTGAAGCCGCCATTTTTACAAGTTCAATCCCGATCTAAAATAAAGAAGAACAAACCCGAACAAATTAATGTTGTCATCGTTTATCTATAACAGTGAACAGATTACATAGAATATTAGTACTTGAAAGTTTAAATATTTTTTTTATTTCTGTTTCATTGAAAAGACAATTTTCAAACTCATTATTATTCCCCGATCGCATTTATTTACGTTTTGAGGAAAATTCACCGGACTTAAACGGAGTACTGCTGAACGCGGCTTTTATTTCTTCGTAAGTGTACTCGGGTTAATTTTGAGTTTAGAAATATCAATAGCCATTAATAGTACTATTTAATTTCAAAGTTATGTTTTTTCCTAGATCTGTGGGGGTTACTTTATTACGTTTAGCTGTTTAGCATCAATATTTCCGTATTATATACATGGACGCAAAGAATTTAATAGTGAAGAATTTATTTCGTAAGAGCATGCAGTATAAAAACACATAAGGTAAAAAACTTAATTATTCACACTTGTGTATTTCAACAGGTCAATCATGCATAATTACTGTCACCAACCGTAACGACTGCCGCCAGGGAGTACTTCAATATAACCGTTATGAAAACAACTCATTATCACCTGTGGGGACCGATTAGTGGCTTCAATATAAGCGAAATTTCAATATATCCGATTTCAATATAACCGTTATTTTAATGCAAAGAATATGAGAGGCAAAAACGGGGGATTTATTTCTATTTCAAAATAAGCGGAATTTCAAAATAAGCGAGTTCAATATAAGTGGAGTAAGCTGTAATTAGGTTAAAGATTCCCACAGCAAATCTGGATTCTAAAAATAGATTTTCAACAACAACTAGCTGCAGCTAATGAGAGCAGCAGGTGTTTGTGTTAGGGAGTATTCTAGGTCAATTATAAATAAACTTCAGATGGGAAGATTAGATCTGCCTAACATGCTTGAACATATATTCATACGCAGTAATTGTACATCGTATAGGTACTTAATCAAAAATTTCTTTAAAAGATGAAGGCATAAATAATGTTGCAGTATGAAATTTTATACAGTGTTAACCTCTTAAGTTTATAGAATCACTCAAACCAAAGCATTTTTTGCTAGAACTATTATATTTGGTGTATGGATCACCTTGATGAATGTGTGAAAAAATTTACAGCTCTGAAACGGCTATGTCGACAGGGAGTAGCTCGCTACGCGAGCCAACTCAATAAAAACCAATGCACAGAATTATGTATCTTAGCATAGTCTACTTGTGTGCCAAGTTATACTGAAATCAGATCAAAACTGCAGGAGGAGTAGCATTTTGAAAGAATTTCACAGAAATTTCTATTTTTAGTAACCATGGCAACATTGTTCATTGAAATCAAAAACCGATGCACAGAATTATGTATCTTAGTGTAGTCTACTTGTATGCCAAGTTATATCAAAATCAGACCAAAACTGTAGGAGGAGTAGCATTTTGAAAGAATTTCACAGAAATTTCTATTTTTAGTAACCACGGCAACACCGTTTATCGAAATCAAAAACCGATGCACAGAATTATGTATCTTAGTGTAGTCTACTTGTGTGCCAAGTTATACTGAAAACAGACCAAATCTGTAGGAGGAGTAGCATTTTGAAAGAATTTCAAAGAAATTTCTATTTTTAGTAGCAAGGCAAAACCGTTCATCGAAATCAAAAACCGATGCACAGAATTATGTATCTTAGTGTAGTCTACTTGTGTGCCAAGTTATACTGAAATCGGACCAAATCTGTAGGAGGAGTAGCATTTTGAAAGAATTTCAAAGAAATTTCTATTTTTAGTAACCACGGCAACACCGTTCATCGAAATCAAAAACCGATGCAAAGAATTATGTATCTTAGTGTAGTCTACTTTTGTGCCAAGTTATACTGAAATCAGACCAAAACTGTAGGAGGAGTAGCATTTTGAAAGAATTTCACAGAAATTTCTATTTTTAGTAACCACGGCAACACCGTTCATCGAAATCAAAAACCGATGCATAAAATTATGTATCTTAGTGTAGTCTACTTGTGTGCCAAGTTATATTGAAATCGGACCAAAACTGTAGGAGGAGTAGCATTTTGAAAAATTGTTTACAGACAGACAAACAGACGGACGGACGACGGACGCATTACTATCGCATAAGCTCTTCTGGTCTCTGACCAGTAGAGCTAATAAGGCAAATCTAACAACTTTTTTTTGAGGTTAATGTACTTGTGCATCAGATTGTGCATTAATTTTTAACTGGGGTCCCAAAGCTTTGGGACCCCAGTTTGGTATAACATAAACTCCACTTAGTCAAGATGAGCAGAAAACCTTTTAATGAGAATCTTACCTCATAGCATTCACAGTAGTTCTTGAGGCATCCTGATCGTTTACAGTTACATCCTTTGTTATGTCTGCGGTCTCTTTCTCCATCTCGCCCTTTACCTGTTTTTATAAAAAGATGCAGAACTGTCTAAAGTATAGCTTAAATTATGAACATAGAAAAAAAAATCATAATAAGGACAATAAAAATATTAATCAAATTAACCAATTATTGATCTCAAAGAAAATACATGAAAATATTTCTTCATTTCGGATGTCTTATTCACATAAAACTTCATAAACTCTTGGAAACTTTACCAATCTTTGGATGGAATGCCAGTGGATTTCTGTCCAGACATGATTTAATGGCTCGGGAACGCTCTTCTTCATGGTCCAGATTGTTGGCACAGTTGTTACAATTGCAGTTGTGACAAAATTCTCCATTTGCAAAACAGTCACAGTAACTAAGTAGTTAAAAAAAACCAAACAAGTACTTATTGGTAACCTTAATGGTTAATCATGTCTCAAGTGTTATTACAATGGAAAATAATTTACGCTTATATGTTACAGGTAACTGTTTGTTTAAAAATTAGCACTTAACGCATTAGTAAACACCAAATTTAACAAAATAGTAACTCAGGAGTACAGTGCCTATTATTGAACAAAATTCCTTCTGGCAGTATAAATTTTTTAGAAAAATACTGGTAGCTCATAATTAAGGTCTTCCGTCTTCACGGAAGACCTTATAGTGATTCTATTGTTTCTTATTATTATTATTATTATTCTTTTTTTTTAGACAAAATTTTGTGCAGGCGATTTCTCGTAAACTATTCGGTGGATTTCAATGAAAATTTCAGGAATTATAGGTCATTATATGAATTTTATATAAAATTCCGTTTGTTGGAAAATTCGCTACCAGTGCCAAGTTATGGGCAATTTCCTGATTTTAAAATGCAATTTTGTCTTCGAATGTTCTCGAAAACGGCTCAAGATATTAACTGGAGACTTGTTATAGATGATGGACCATGAGTTATAGATGTGCAATTTTGCCTTCGTTTGCGTCGTCGGTACTTCCGGTCGCTACAGGAAGTGAATTCAAAATATGCCCCTTTTCAACGTTTTTGGTTTTGCAATATTTTTCTTTGATATAATTAATGGTAATTAAGATCCTACTGGAAAGGCAAAATATATAATTTATTTAAGAATTGATCAATCCAAACACTAGATATTCGCATTTAAAAATCTGAAGCGTGTCCAAGATGGCGGCGGTCTCCGTAAACTCCGCCATTAAGCAAGTCGGGTTCTAGAAGGTCAGCTGAGCGTTTAGATGAATGAAACTTCTACCATAAAGATTTATGAAATGTAAAGGATTCTTTAGATTGCTACATCGCAATTACGTTGCATTGAGTATTGTTTTAATATGAGGTTTCCTCAAACTTCTATTGAAATTGCTTTTGTCTGCATCTCATAGTAGAATACAACATGACTACAAGTGGAAATACGATGACTACAATCTTTTGTTTTGCACCAGGGAAAACTTATCCTAAACCATGGTTATAAGTAATAGCTTTTTAAGAAACTTGCCTGACTTGATATTCACTATGTTTCTGAAGTATTACTTGACTTCTGTTTATTTTACCTCGCACCCTTATGACATATTAAATGAATAGAAAAGACAAAAATAAGAAAAACATTTTTATAAAGATTGTTTATTAAAGGTTATATAAATATTCTTGTAACAAATGCAAGTTATTGAACATAAAGAGTATCAGATTCCTTGACCGCTGGAGGGCGAGTAGCTGCAATAATGTAGCCCTCTCCGATTTTTTTTATCTGATGTTTTCTGGAGAGGGCTACAATTCCATCGCATCTCCGTAATGGTGCAAATATTTTTTTTTAATATGAGCGACTGCAGGCAAAATAAATTATTTTTACATTCAACTTACTTCTAATAAGACGAAATTTTTATTCACTGTCAACAACATATCCCGTTAAATGCGAAAAACTTGTAAAATAACTCTGCAAGTTTCCTGGTAGTTTACTTCAGCAGCCATGACAATTCACGCGTGACGTAATGAGACTTTCGCTTGAAATTTAGAACAACTGAATAAAGCAATTATCGGTGTTTATAAATGATTGTGCTGAATTTCATCACAAAAACATAGGTATATAAAACCATTTTAAGTGTTATTTTTATGCAAGCAGCGATATTTATGCTTAAAATAAGGGAATTCCAAAAAGATCCGCTCCTACAGAACCTAAATTCTCATTGGCTGTCCCAAAATACAATCTATCAAGGTCAGTAAACATGGCGGATAAATTCGAGTTGCGATGTTGACATACACGAAAAAATAGCGATATAGGGATCGTTCTGTATATTTTTGCATTGATTTACGTCTTGGATGACTACTTATTTGGAGTCAAGGTAAGAAATGTTAATTAAATAGCCATTTACTGATAATTTGAGCCGAAATCCGTGCGGGAGCGAATCACACCCGCACCTGCACCATTAGGAAGATCCTAAGGAATTGTAGCCCTCTCCCTAAAAAAAAAAAAAAAAAAATAAAAAGGAGAGGGCTACATTATTGCAGCTAGAGGGCGAGTGATTTTTTTTTTCAGTGAAACATTCCAGTCTTTTCATGAACGTGTAACTCATCTCCACTTTGGGTATAAAGAGGATACAAAATTCATGGAAAATCTTACCGAATTCACAGCTTTAGTTTTACTTGTCCGTATACTATATTATATTTGTATTATGTGATAAATATACTTTCTAACGCTCGAAATTCCGGTTATAAGAACATTCATTTCTAATTTTCATTGAAGCTATCAGATCCATTAAAAAGATCAAACATTTCAAAAGAATAGCGTTAAGAACTACTTGTGACGTTTGGCACGAAATAATGTATCATGACCAATCTTAAGTAGTAGACAAATGGCGACAATAGTGCAGAAATATATAACATTGGCATGCCTGTATATGGAGTTGCATGGAATTAAAAGTTGAATACATATCGAATAAAGGAAAGAAAACAGTATCATCTGTTCATCACTAATAGATTATATATCCAAAAAATTACTGTTAAAACTCAAGTAACAAACTCCGATGTGATCATCTTGAGCAAGTTTGGCGCGAAGATTTACTCGTGACGTTTGACGCAAAATTATGAATAGTGACCGCCTTTCATTATTCTAAGACAGATGTACCGTTTCAAAAGTATATACAAGTAGATTTAGAGATGTGGTCCCAATAGCGTAACAGTAAGCGCTTTGTATTTTCATGCTGGCGACCCGGCTTTAATCCCCTTTTTCCATAAAACGTTTTATCACTTTTTCAGCTCGAATTTGCAGGGGTTTTTTTCAGAATCGGACGGAAGACCTCTCGTTGCTCGCAACGAGTTTCTTTTCTAGTTATTATTATTATTATTATTCTTATTTTTTAGACAAATTTTGTGCACGCGATATCTCGAGAACTATTCATCGGTTTTTCATCAAACTTTCATGGATGATGCGCTCTTATATGCCATTGTTACATTTGGAAGAATTTTGGAACAACTCGCTTTCGGTGCCAAGTTATGGCCATTTTCCTGATTTTAAAATGAAATTTTGTCAGTTCGAGGTCTAAAGAACTACTAAAGATATGAACTGGAGACTTGCTGGAGAACATAGGGCATGACTTCTAGATATGCGGAATGTCCTTTTTGTGTGTCGTCAGTACTTCCGGTCGCTACCGGAAGCGATCTAAAAAAATCAAATTTTTCAACTTTTTTGTTTTTCATTATTTTTCTTTGATTTTTACTGGGTTAATAGAGGCTCTTAAATGAAAGCGAAATATGTAATTTGTTTTAGAATTAAAGAAGCCAATCTCGAGAAATTCGCATTTAAAAATTTGAAGCGGTGTTCCCGATGGCGTAATGGTTAGCGCGTTGGATTTTCACACGGGCGACCCGGGTTCGATCCCCCGTGTGACCGATATTTTTTTACGACTTTTTCAGCTAGATTTTTTGTTTTTCATTTCAGAATCGGACGGAAGACCTCTCGTTGCTCGCAACGAGATCGTTTCTAGTTGATCTTATATTTACTAGAGCAATCCTAACAACATGTGCAGACTCCACAAACCAATCTTCTTGTCGGATTGAATTACTTACAGCTTCAAGCACTGGGATTTGGTGCAGTTACATGGCTTCCTAGGTCTGGCACCCGTGGCTTCTATTGCAGACCTACAGAAAATGATTCAACTTTAAAACCAATTCTCTACAAGTCTTTATTTAAACTAACATTAACTGGAAAAAGAGCTCTCTTGATCTCTAAAACAAGCTAATTATCCGTTTCTACACTAACGCTTTAAAATATGTTGGCTTGGTTTATTAAAAGTGGCCAACAGGTTTGTGAGTAGTTGAAAATGTGAAAAGATTACAGAAAGCAAGACGGACAAATGCTGGACAATGGTAGATCAGTAGTTCACATGAACTTTCAGATCAGGTGAGCTAAAAAAAACCTAATGAAGTGGATGCTTTTTTAATAAGTACTAGTAAGCTGCTGTCTGGTCTGTAATATAAATGGTTAGATATTGATATCTCAAACACTGATATCTCAAATACCATGGATATCTTGTATCTTGCTTTTCTCTAAACCCTGTTGAGTTGAAAATAATAAGGTTATCATCTTACCCATTAACACTTTGTTTGGCATTAGCACTAAGTGAAGGGTCACTGCTAGCAATAGGCACAAACTCCTGTCTCTGTTGCTGTAGGACAGCCTGGGGTTCTGCTGCTGGTGTTGCTGAAGGCAGGGAGGGTTGCTGCACTGTGATGCTCTTTGGCTGCATCTGCTGCTGCTGTAACTAAAATCATTATATCATTTATCATAAATACATTGTATCATTCATCGTAAAGAAATACAAAAACTTCTTAAAAAAAATAAATTTGAAACTTTTTTTCCCTTTAATACCTGTGTCATATATGAGGCTGGGACCAAAGCAAATCCCTGAAGCCCTGATGCTGCTGAGAGCAGTGCGGTGCCTGGTGGTAGGCCAGAAATATTGGCCACACTGGAACCTGCTGGTCGTATGTGTGGTACTGCTGTTGAAGTAGCAATATTGGGCGTTGTAACACGGATTGCTACTTGCTGAGTAGGAGCAGCTGGCAATAAAATTCGCTGAACATTCTGTGTAGTCTGGGCTTTCGAAGTAACCTTCAATTGCAACAAAAAAAGAACAAAAATAAAAATTGAAATTAGTAAAAATTAATTAAAGTAAGTTTGGGAATCTATATGTATCTTTGCTGAAAAGTGTGCTTGTGTGTATTTTCAAAGTTTTTCCTTCGATATATAACATAGACATGTGCCTTTGCGACTTAAGAGTACAACAAAAAAAAAAATTCTATACTATGATATATTCATATATATAATTTTTTTTTGTTCAGGATGACATTAACGTATATTATATTGTTTTTCCCTCACTAGACCTTAAAATTTGTAATTTCTCTAATTGCGAAAAAAGCAGTGTAAAAGTTATGCGAATCTGCTATGCTATTACAATTTGTGATGTTCCTTGGGCTGGCAGTGTAATCTTCAGTTGTTGGAGATTGGCTTGAGAGACAACGGTTGCTGTACTCAAGGCTGGAGCTATGGACTTTGCTGACTGAACTAAAGATGTCAACGTAGTGCCTTTAGACACTAAAACAAATAAATTCCAATTAAACAGAGAAATATACCTGTAGATAAAAGTTCATAAAACAAAATCATATGACTTTACATTAATAGCAACTTGGATGGCCAATCTAAGATTTCTTGGATCGGATGGATCCATCACATAAAATGTTGAATCTCCATTATTTTAGAAATTGAATAACTAGTTAATAAAACTTATTTAAGAGTTTAAATCAGACATCCTGAACAATAAATCAACAGATAAATCCTCTAGAATACACCAGAAAAGGGGACGTGTTGAAACGACTTACTGCCTGCTGACATGGCTGCTGGTGAACTAGGAGATACCAGCCTAACATACTGAAATCGACTGCCCTGCATGGAAATTGGAATCTGGACTTGTTTAACTCCACTGCCTGTTGGCACTGTTATTATCTGTTTTGCTTGTGAAGGTTGAATTTGAATTGGTCGTTGCTGTACCTTAAAAAAAAACTTTCAAATTATATTGACAATTCTCAACTTCCAAATATTGAAATAAAATAAACCTGTTTGAACCATTATACAGGTGACTCTCGATCTTTCGAAGTTCAAGGGACCACAAGAAAAGTTCGAGAGATCGGGGGGTTCGAGAGATAGGAAATAAATAAAATCTGGAATTTTCAGTTCCGATCATCAATGTTCTACCATTATAGATACCGGAAGTAAAAGTAAATAGTCATTGCACGTTTTCAATCGTATTTAACAGGTAATTTACTTGAAATCAACAACAATGATCATATTTTGAATAAATAAAACGATTTCTTAAAGGTCCAATATTTATTTGCTCTTTTTTCATGATTATATGAAACCTAAATAGCAATTGTCAGTTTGGCTATACCGCGGCTGGATCGGGTCCTTTTCCAGTGTTCACCAGATTTCTCGCAATCAGTATTCAATCCTTGAGAAAGGATTTTCCGTTCAACATTTGACATACTGGGATTATGTAGACTGTAATTAACGTTCGTAGACCTTGGGAATTTATTGACACGTACGTTTTCAAATTATTTTCTAAAAATTAACGTCCTGGTTTCAAGTCAAAATATGTTGTGAAGCAATTCGTTTATAGTTTATTAATTATAACCAATTAATTAAACCTACACACGGACGACCCTCCGTATTGCCATCTATGTTAACACCCAATTAACACCTCCATGCCACCCCCAGGCATTCACTGTTATCCAGGTAAGTACAAGCTGCATTAATTTCAACTCCACTGCCTGTGGGCACTGTTACAATCTTAACTTTGAGAGAAGGCTAAAAAACAATGAAATCTGTGTAACGGGACCCAGGCCTTGGTTCGAGAGATAGAAGTTCGAGAGATCAGGAGTAAAATTGGCTAGTTATATAGAGGGAAAAACGGGACCAGAGATTCACTTTGAGAGATAGAGAATTTCGAGAGATCGGAGTTCGAGCCATCGAGAGTCACCTGTAATTATATTTTAAACTATCTTCAAGTAGAATACAAGTTACCACATAGTGATCAAGACTTTCTTCCTTTAAAAACTATTTTAAATTCATTTTAATTTTGATACATGCATGTTTCCAACATAGGGTATTCCTCTTACCACTGTGCCCTCTTTCATAACCTTTGATGGTGACATAGTAATTAGTGTTGGACGAGAGCCTCCAGCCCCCGAAGAAATATTCAATTGTTTATTCAACACAGAAGATGCTGGTACTAGTCTTTGGGGAGATTTTCCAATAGTCACTGGGATCATGGTTATTTTAGTTGGAGTTTTTGATGCTGGAGAGATGGGTATTTTATTTCCTGGCACACCTAACAGTTTTGTAGGTGTTGTAGGTATAGTAACATATTGTTTTCCAGGAGACAGAACACCTTGTGGAGAAATGGTGATTGTTTTTGTTGGTGTTTGTGCTCCCTGAGATAGAAGACTTATGCCCCCCGAGGAGGCCACACTGTAACTCTGTCCATGTTGCAGCTGGATCTGTCCGAGCTGATTCACTTGAACGGGCATGACCTGAGGTTGATCACTATTAGGATTCTTAGTTATTATGACTTTATGTACAACTGGAGGGGTAGTTGAAGAGAGCTGTCTTTTCAGAGATTGGGTGGTAGTCACTTCATTAGAATTAGAGACAGTATGTGTCACACTTGTCACAACTTCGCTGCTGAAGTCCTCAGATGCCAAGGTTATTGTAGGAAGGGCATTGTCGCTGGACTGTACAGAGTTACCAAGCAATGCTGCCACATCCTGATCATGACTGACAATGTCTGAATCCAGGTTGTCAACTTTATCTAAAACATGTGATTTTACACTATTACATTCCACTGGGATATCACCAAAGTTTGAGTTGCTATTAGAATTTTCTTCTAAATCAGCTTCAGATGATACTGTCACTGTGTTACAATCTTGGAGCATTACCTCAATATTGTTACCATTTTCAATGCCTGTAATAAAATTAATAACAGTAAAATATTTTTAAAATATTAATTTGTCTCCTTAAAAGTCCATTTAAAAACGTAAAAGTTAATTATTCAGATAGCTTACAAGTTTTCTCTTAATAATAAGTACAAATGATTTCAAATCAAATCATGAGCATTTAATATTTCACCTTACATTTCTATCTCAAAGTTTTAATGTTTGCATCCTACAATATATAACTTGCTTCTTAAAAAAAAAAAAAGATTATCCATGGTTTATTTCAGGTACAGTGGTCGATTAAAAGAATCTTCAAGACTTGTTTGATATCTTGCATATATAGCATATCTTATGGGAAAATTTCCCTCATCTATGAGCTCTAAATTCTAAACCGTTTTAGCTCAATAATATAATTTCTAAACAAAAGTAATTTTCCACAACATCAGACTTATTGTATTGTAAGTTGTACTTATATTATTCACTGTTTCATCAAACATTTTTCAGATCTAAAAAAAAATGTTCTCTACTTCCTTATAAATTCATATATTAGAAACAAAATATAACAAATTAAAAATGTTTCTTTTTTAAATAGATGTTTTTTTTTAGGAAACCCACAATTTTTGCCATATGGGTTTATTTCACAGATATAATATATTAATGTAATTAAACTGTATTTAATGTATTAATCTACTGCATTTCCAAATAATTATTTGGAACAATGCCAAATATTCTAATAATTGACAACCAAATAATTACCACTACGCAAGTATCTGCAACAAATATTTCTTTTTCAAATAAACTGCAAATAAAAATATTCAAAATTGCAACTGTCAGGTTACTGTTCTTTATTTTCGAAATAAATAGTTTGTTTACAAATACAGTCAAATGACCCGCCATTACCATTCGACACGATGCAGGGAAATTTAAATATTGGAATATCTATCACAAATAAAATTACGATGTACAGATAAAATCACACGCTCTCAAAGCAACCATATTAAATCAGTCATATCTCACTGAAATTTTTCATCTCAAGAATATAACAAAGCACTAATGACTGTTATAAATGAAGGATAAACACGAATTATGACCGACATGGTAGCAAAAATCCGGTGGGTACCTCACATCTGGGCATGATTTATTGTGTAAAATGTCATTCGATTTCAATCAAATTCTTTAAACACCTAAGACAAGGTCTATATTTATTGGGAATATACGAAAAATAACCAAATTTTACACAAGTATTTTCTTTCAAACCTGTTTTTTCGATAGGCATTCTGTGTTTGTTCAAAATCACGCGCCCACCATTACCATCCCATAATGCAACGTAAAATTTTTCCGCGAAGTAGTACCGCAGTTAAGGAAATTCTTGGGTTTTATAAAGATAATTTTCATTATTTTAGCGATACGCGTTATCAATGATAGAAATTTGTTGCCCCTTTTTGCCCGGTAATGCATTTAATAATTTATTTGTGTTTCACAGTCACACGAGATTCAAATTTATTCACTCGGATATTTTTGGAAAACCATTTGAAGTTTGATATATCAGTACGTCATGGAGCTCGAGGATTTCTCATGTTTATTTTAGCAAAAAGAACTCGACTTATTAAATATAACTATCATCCCAAAATTAGATAAGTAATACTCATGCAATAATGTGAATAGTATGTAATTCTGATTTGTGATTTCTTGAAAGTGAAGAAGGGGGAGGGGTCGTTCTATATATATATATATATATATAAAATCTATGAGCCAAAAAAATCTGTGAACAGGACATACATATTGCCCGACTTCCGGCAGTTCTATAGATTGGATAAGGTGCCTACAGGAACAAACATCATCTGTTGACCGTTCGCTCAACATATGCTCAAAACAGAGCCGAATGATTAAAATAATGTTAGAGAACGTTCACATCGTTAACAATATACATTTATTGAATGGTTTCGAGGATAACACGTGCTTACTCAGACTCTTGAAAACGCATTTTGCCCGAGAACATAGTCAATAAATGTTTTGTTTTATCTTTCATTTTAATTTTTTTTTTTTTTTTTTGACATTCATTTATTTCTAGACTGGTACCCTGACATTGGTTAACGGGTGCAAGCGCCCTAAAAAACCTTGTAATTCCTAGCGGCAGCGACTGGAATCAAGGGCAGAGAACCAGTGCTAATTTATTTCAATTAAGTTGTACCTAGCATCTTCTGGTCCATTTTCATTCGTTACTTTTGAACACCAACGAATGAAAATGAGATTAGGCTTCGCCCATTCTGTGACGTAAGCGGTGCAACATCTGATCCACCAGTCCAACATCTCACTTAGAGGTCCATCATTGATTTTTTATGCCTGCTCAGCGGTTAAACATTAGAAATGTATGGAATTCCATATACGACAGCCAACTGCTTACTGCCAACTGCCAGCTGCTTACTGCCAACTGCCAACTGCCACACATATTTGAATAAATTTTATATTTATATTGATATTTATATGAATTTAAAAAAAAAACAGGCGCGGATCCAGGACATTTTTTTCCCAAGAGGTCACCTTGGTAAAATTAAATTGACTAAATGACCATGTTTTAATTTATGTAATATTCAATATACAGTGTATGCCATTGATAAAGTACATTGTTTATTTTTATTTTCTTATTTGAAGTAGGTAATAAAATGACTATTTTATGCTTTTAATCTTAAAAGAAGTAACACCCCCACCCCCATCCCCGGAGACAACAAAACCTTTAAAGAGAGAAAATTTAAAAAAAAAAAAGATTTATCGTTTCGCAGATAAAGATGTTTTGAAAATAAATTTATATTTTCTATTATATTGTAAAGTTAAGAATTTCCTCAAATAAAAGATGTATATCTCTGTGTGTTATTATGTTTTCCATGCAAATATCTTGGGGGGTGGGGTGGGGGGCAAAGCATATTTTTTCGTATAGATTTGTATAAGAACTTTTTAAAGGTATAGCAATAATAATTGCACATGAAATTTTATTTGATAATAGTTTTTACTAAAGGCTCATAAAATAATTCTTTTAATAGGCAATCGCACCGATCTCTAACAGAAAGAAGCGAGGTGATGTAGTAGCTACACATGAATCTAATTCAGATTCAGGGGTGTTCTCTGTAAGCTTTAATCTCATCCTCCTTCTTTATTTAATGAATTTTTTTATTTACACTTATATGATCGAGAGGTCACTGTTTTGTTATTTTATATCGAAGTATTTATGTACGCCTTACTGAGTTAAAGGGAACCAAAATGGCCGGAAATGTAAGACAACAGCTCTCACAACTTGCTAGTTTATCACATTCTGGTGGATCACACAGAGATGTTACAGAAAAGTATGAATATTTATTTCATTATTCTTAGACCAACCTTGAGTTGGTAAAAAAAGCGCTCGTCACAGCTCAGTTTTGTAATAATTTCAACAAATAGGTTACAGAACAGAGGAAATTCGAAACCGCCATTTAACTGTCAGACACTTATCTACCCCAATATCATTACATTTCTATCCGTTAGAAATTATTTAAATCGTTTGTTTAGTGAAATGTATACAGAGATTTTACAGCAGCGAGACATAATAGTCTACATTGAGAAAACAGAGAAAATTCGAGTGAAAATTGATTAAAATTTATACTGGTTTGTATAGAATTCCCCTTTTTTCTGTATCGGCATATATTTTACAGACATTTGCAGAAAGACTTAAAACATCCTCAGCTAGCATAGGTTCAAGTTTGTTTAAATGATCATTTGGGGGAAGGATCAACATTAGCTGCAGATCTGTAGCTCTCTGAATAAAAATTATTGATAGACCGGAGAGCTACAGTGCCACCCATTGAAAAAACTGTATATTTATTGCCACAAAAAAATGCGCTGGGTACTCAATTTATTTTTCCATGTTTTTAAAGCTGTAATCTCAAAATATTACTAACCGTGTGTTCCTAACATATTCTTTGACTCTTTCCACAACAAAACATTCCTAATAATTGTTGTTAATAGTCCTCCTGGCCCTGATATTGCAATGATCGGATATTTCGCTTATTTATACTGCCATATTGGTTTCAAAGATACTTCGATCCAATATGTTTCGTTCAGATGTTAACTACAAGAGAACTTGATAGAGGAGAGAGTAATTTTTTTAAATCTTCCATTTTTTGCAATTGAGGTAAGAATTTAGAAAAATTAATCAAGAATCGAGCGCACTTTTTTGTGCGCAATAAATATACAGTTTTTTCAGATGGTGGCACTGTAGCTCTCCGCGGTCTATCAATATATATTTTTTTGGAGAGCTACAGATCTGCAGCTAGATCAACATAATCTCAGCGAGATGTCATAGCAGGGACCTATATACTAACGGGATAGGCAACTCCTTCATCGCCATGTTTATTTACCCAAAACATCATGCACGACACTACAAGTTTTTCAGTCTACTTTTATTCCCAGTAAACAGGATGTTTTCTGATTATTATCATTTATTCCTCTTCTGTATTGGAATTGATTTATTAATAAATTTTAAAGCATAATGATAATATAATTTAAATATAAAGAAAACAAACACCGAAATCGGCAATTTCTCGTAAATATGGTCGATCGGGGCATGTGCTGATTTTGCATAAAACAAAATTACTACTAAGATAAGGAGTATAAGACGTGCTAACAACAAATCTTGAATGATTTTTTGACAGATAAAGGATTTGAGCTCAAATATGCGATAACTTTAGAGATATAATTAATCAAAGTTGACTTACGAGATATCGCAAGACTTGTTGTAGTTGCTTATCCCGTTAGTATATAGGTCCCTGTCATAGGGACTAAAAGATTTGGTCGGACGTGGACGTCCAACCAAATATTTTAGTCTACAACATCTCACTGAGATTAGGATCAACAGGTTGGGCACAGTTCCTTTTTCGGGGAAGTATTACTATAAAATGGGATTATACCTCAGGCTCTTTTCAGTAATAAAAACATTACTGAATAAGAGAACTTTGTCATAATTTTTTATTAATGCCTCAAATCCATTTATTAGATAAAAAGTGCATAAAAAATATGATGTGTATAATCTTTACTAAACAAACCTCGCTGACCGAAAAATTCGTTCCTTCAGTGCTGCAGAAAAGAATAAGATGAGATGTAATCACATGGCATCGAGAATATTCTTCAAATGGATGTGAATATTTCCATTAAAAGTATTTTATTAATTTTCAGAAAAATTCATTCTGATTTCATAGAGAACTTTTGAACATGCATAGGAATTTCAACCAAACTTGCCACTTTTATTTTAATTTTCCCTGTTTATAAGTGGTAAGAAAAGTACAGAATCTCATAAGGGCATTCATTCTAAAACCATTTTAAAAGACTGTTGTTTGAAATTAAATATTTCAAATGATTATTTTCATCTGTAAAAGAAGCAGTGGTATTTTAAATTACTTTTATGATGTAATTTAAAGAAATAGTATAAAATTAAATTAGAACGAATAATTTCATGAACGAGTTAACAAATGCTGAACATATTCAATCTCACAATTATAAAAATCTTCTAAGAAATCTATATCATAGAAATACATCAATCTGTGCAGCAATAAATATTGCAGTTATAAATATTGCAGTTTTGAGCAGATATACACTTAACAGACTATATATTTAGAGGATATGAAAATATTCTTGCACTTTACCTTTTATTCAAAGCAGACACGAGAATAGAAGCTAAACGAGTGAAAATTCCTGAATACAGTAACGTTTTTTATTACTGAAATGAGTTATAATTCCCTAATAGTAATACATCCCCGAAAAGGAACTGTTCCCATCCAGATCAAGGGGAGTCACGATAGGAGACCAAATTTTTACAAAGGAATATAGGGGGGATCAGATTTTTTACACAAGAATATATAGGAAAAAATCTATTAAAAAAAACAACAGAAAAGCCATGATTTAATAGGCATTTTTATCGAAGCATCCTCATGAAGAGTAGATTCAAGTTTGTTCAAATGTAGTCATGATGGGGGTGGCTCAAAGTTTAGCAAAGGGTTATATATATATATATAGAAAAAATTGGCTTAATAACAATAAAGCCATTTGTAATATTGATATGGCATCCTCCTCCGGTAGTTTAAAATTCAACTCCACCCCATGTAGCCACTGCCTTCTTTTCTAGCCAATGTGCTCTGGTGAGTGATGTGACCCATAAGCCTCTTGTAATAATTCAGAAATAAATATCAAATAAATCAAATATATACAAGGGTTGTCGAAAAAAGTTTGTGGACAATGACGCTTTTGTTAAAATAAATGGTTCCATATAAATCTTTTGTATAACAAAAGCCATAATTGATCACATTTATGGAATGATATTTTTGTAAAAAAGCATCCTCATAGTGGGCACGGACCAGTCTGACTTTAAGCTAATTTAATTATAACGTCAAAAATTTGGATTTTGATTTTTAACCTATGTTCATGGACTTGCACTACATCAAAATGTCATCAAAACAAACAGTTTGTACACACAAGCTGCACAGTCCAAAGCTGCGCTAAATTTATAATAACATCACGAATAGAAATCTCCATTTTCAGCAAATTACATGTGTTTTTAAATACTTGCAGTGTCTTCAAAGAGCCATACCTGCCTTTCCTACGACACGGCCAATTCAAGTATTTAAAAGGAAAATAACAAAGCCTTTTAATTGATACATGTTATTTTAAAAATCTTCTTCTCAAGAACCACTGTGCCAGGAAAGATGAAACTTATGGGGAAACTTCCTCAGGTAGTGAAGATTCAATTTTGTTCAAATCATGACCCCCAGGGGTAGGGCGGGGCCACAATGGCCGACCAAAGTTTTACATAGAAATATATAGGAATATTCTTTGAAAATCTTCTTCTCAAGAATAACAAAGCCATAATTGACCACATTTATATGGAAGCATCCTCAGGTAGTGTAGATTCAAGTTTGTTCAAATCATGACCCGGGGGGTAGGGCGGAACCACAATGGCCGACCAAAGCTTTATATAGAAATGTATAGGAAAGTTCTTTAAAAATCTTCTTCTCAAGAATAACAAAGCCATAATCAGTCAAGGGCATCATGGAAACAAGTTATTTTTGAAATAATTTGTTTCAGTTATTAAATGTCAACATTTTGGGTTATCTTCCCCTGATTATGCTTTTCTTCAGTAACTTATTCCTGTTAATAACAAAGCCATTATTGATACTGGCATCTGAAAGGATTTAGTCATGCTGTGCTTGGGTTATTAAGTACATGGCTGACAGTAAAAGTATCTATCTTTAACATTTAACATATTGAAATCCAACAAATTATAACTTATTTCAATTATTTCATCCTTAACCCATCTCACTTTAAAACTCTTGCACAAAAATCTACAGCTTTGCACAAAAAATGTAAGACATAGAGATTGTACAGTAATATCCAAAGATTATAGGAAAATTAGTCTCAATGCTGGCAAAATTGGCGGAAGATGTGTAATTGACCTCTGAAAAGTTAATGAAATAGAATTATATCCTTGAAAACTATCATATTAAATAATCATATCTTAGAAAGAGTCTATTAAAAGAAGTAACATATAACAATTTTCTTAGCCTTAAATCATCTTAAATCAGCAGCAAACTCAAAATATTAATGTTTTTTGCAAAACTAATAGGTGTTTTTCTTTTTAAGCATTAACTCAAATGAGTTACTTTTTTGTTTAGTACTTAATAAATGAAGTAACATAAACAAGTTATTTTAGAATATAACTTGATTCCATCATGCCCCTGATTGATAATTGATCACATTTATATGGAAGCATCCTCAGGTAGTGTAGATTCAAATTTGTTCAAATCATGATCCCCATGGGTAGGGCGGAGCCACAATGGCCGACCAAAGTTTTATATAGAAATATATAGGAAAATTCTTTAAAAATCTTCTCAAGAATAACAAAGCCATAATTGATCATATTTGTATGGAAGCAATCCTCATCATGAATCATATAGTGAAGATTCAAGTTTGTTCAAATTATGACCCCCCGGTGGTAGGGCGGGGCCATAATGGCCAAAGTTTTACATAGACATATATTGGGCATTTCGTGTGATCTGAAATATTTGTACGAAACATTTATGGTTTAAATGTCCATGATTTGGTCGGCTGAACATACCTGGTCAGATTCTACAAACACGTCCACAGGTGTTTTTTTTTTCATTTAGTTGAAAGTATTATAAATCTCTTAACATTAATGTTTCACAAAAAATAAACACCTAAGATATTTAATTCATATAGATGCATGATACCTGTACATGTACATTATACAGAATAGAAGATTAGAATTGAATTCGCTCGAGAATCAAACTGAACCAATATT